CCACTGCTATTGACACGCTGTAATCATAACGCTTCTTTTGCAAAAGGAAAGTTCTAATTGTACTTTGGAATGAGAGTACTGGTAGAAAACTGCAAAGCACTAATGTTTAAAATTGTTCCAAACTTGAAGATAAGTCCCAATTGCTTAGGTAAATTCCCCTTAGTCAAATTTTTAAATTTTTTTTACCGCCTCGTGATCATCACCAGTAGCTAATGAGTACAGTTTTAGCAACTGTATCTTCCGAGGTCATGTCCCAAGATCTGCGGCCATGAAAATGTCAACAAAGCTCTCGTATGTTTGACCCCTCTTTATCGCGTAATGGAGACACCACTGTCCAATCCAAATATCGGGTTCATCATTCATAGCTAGCCTTCACCACCAATTTCCTATCCTTCTCGGCGATTTTGGATAGTTCTGTCGAGATTCCAAAAAAAGTTTGTGAAAGTTTCTTTTGAAGAACCTTTTCTAAGGACATGGTTGATAAGACTGGGAGCGTTACCTTGATTGGAACAAATACAAATACTCTCCACTTTGTTCCAAAAGTAAGCTTTTAGGGATAGAGCTTCGTCTTGCACTATGACATCCGTGACAATAGATCGTAACCCTGAATACATTGGCTTCGTTAAGCTGTGCGCTACCAGATTGCCACTAGGCCCTGTAGTTCCCATGACAAACTTCAGTCTCATAGAAATTATGTCGATAAAGGAAGTCATGCTCTTTGTTTGGTTGAACAAAAAGATTATGTTCCAGCAAACCATCAAATTACCAAAAATGTTGTGAAAAGTGTGTAAGCAGTTGGTAGCAGCTTATTTTTTTGAGTGTATTTTTGACTAAATGATCTTTCTTACAACAAAATAATCTGAATTAGCGCATGCATTAACGTAAGTAATTAGTATCAACTCGTTGTCAAATTTTTAAACCTAGTGCATAAAAGCCTTACTCATCCATAGTTTTCTGGGCTTAATTATTATAAGTGATATAATCGACTCACGAAATCACTCATACTTTTCAATCGAGATTTGCAAGTGCTGTAGTCAAGCCAAACGTTTATTTACAAATAATAAACATATATGTCATACGTACATAGCAACTTCAATGGAACATAACTTCGTTATCCCAAAATTTCTTGAGGGAATTAACCGTAACGACAACTGATATATGTGAGAATATGTGTTCAGCACAATAAAATTGAGATCATCCCTAAGGAAACTTAATGCTGTTGTAATTCTGGAGAACTGGCGCTTTCTTTTTACGAAAAAATGAAATTTAGAGCATTATCTCGCTATTATCCGTAAGTTGTAGGCGAGTATCCTTTTCAAGGATTAGCGAATGCGCATGTAAGGTATCTCTTTCGGGGAAGATTTCACTGGCACCCCCACTTCTTCCGGTGGTTTTCTCAGATTTACTCGGGCAGAAAATTCGAAGTACATGAGCTCGATAATCGTTGTGAAATACGCAATTGATCATGGTTGTTCCGATTGAGATGAGACTGAAAAAACAGACAAAGGTGTTCATTCATTAAACTTCTAGAAAACTCTTTTACTTACCCTGGTGGCACTAGAGAGATTCCGAGGACAAAATCGTTGCCAACGATGACACCCCATTGAATCAGAAGGCTCACTAAGGCTGGGATTGACATGAACACAATGCACATCAGCGAAGTCATCATGAAAACGCGAAGGTTCGACTCTCTTTTTGCTCCTTGCCATCGACGAAAAGACGAAGAATTCACTTGGCTATAGCCCTTAAATGGTAGAATTCATAAGCGTTCAACATCACTTCTTAATTTCTGCAAAATTTTCTGAAAAATCCCAATATTGGGTGGCTTT